CAGAAGAGTCCCTGAAGTTGGCAATTTTGCCCCCTCTGGCTCCCGGGGGGGCAGGGTGAGCCTCCAAAGGGTCCTAGGGTGTGTTCCATAAGACGAACCTCTCCATAAGGCTCACCAAATTTTTAGGATAACAGATTATTTTCCTGTTTTCTTCTCCTAAAAATTTGGTGTGTCTTATGGAGCAAAAAATACGGTACTTAAAAGTTATGTTGTACTTTAAAAAATGAGGTTTGAACAGCAGTTTAGTAAAAATAGCTTAAAAACAATCAGCCAGCTCTCCAGTCAAGTCTGGAAGCAGGGTCATTGTACGATAACCTTGACTTCCAAAATAATTTTTACCCCATGGCTGCAATGTCTTAATATGGAGATGGCATTTGCAGGTATATACCTTGCACTCTCTGTAACTAATATACTATGGTATTACCGTACCTTGGTGTAGCAGACCTTTTATTTTGCAAGTCTTTATTCTTCCAGGCTTTGCAAATCTTAATCATAACAATGCATATCATCATAATAGCAGCTTGCCAAATTCTGAGCTACGTGCTCTTCTAATTACAGGAAGTGAAGGAACAACAGAAATTTCTATTATAAAATTTCTGTTGATGCACCAGATCCTTGTACATCAGGCCTGTTAGAAAGGATTGTTGACAGCTGATGAAGTAGAGATAAAGGTATAAATAATGGCCAGAAAAAGATAGGTAGGGCAGGAAGCGAAGGATACCAGAATACCATAAGAAGGGAGAAAGCTGTCCAGGGTAGACAAGATTTTTACGATATGGTTTTATTATTGCTTATGCTCTCTAGCCCAGTGATTCCCAACCTCGGGTAATCCAGGTGTTCTTGGACTGCCTTCACTACCAACTGTGCTGACCACAGCTTCTGGGAGTTGCAATCAAAGAACACCTCAGCTACCCTAAGTTGGAAACCACTGCTCTAGTATATTAATTACACGGACTATTGATATTTATGTAGATATGACTTAAGTGAGAGCTTTTTTTAATAACTTAGGAAGTAAAGGTAAAGGTTCCCCTTGACAATTTTTTTTGTCCAGTCGTATTCGACTCTAGGGGGCGGTGCTCATCCCCGTTTCCAACATAAGCCATAGAGCCAGCGTTTTGTCCGAAGATAATCTTCCGTGGTCACATGGCCAGTGCAACTTAGACACGGAACGCTGTTACCTTCCCACCAAGATGGTCCCTATTTATCTACTTGCATTTGCATGCTTTCGAACCACTGGGTTAGCGGGAGCTGGGACAAGCGACGGGCACTCACTCCGTCATGTGGATTCAATCTTACAACTGCTTGGTCTTCTGACCCTGCAGCACAGAAGCTTCTGCAGTTTAGCCCGCAGCGCCACCACGTCCCTCAACTTAGGAAGTACACCGTGGTAATCCAGAACCTGCCTGGATCTTCAGTTCCCAGCACATCATCCAAGTATGCCTTGGTGTGCTTTCTAGGAACTCAAAATGCACAAATCTGATTTGACCAACAACACAATCCTGTGAGGCAGAACTACCATCATGCCCACATAATATCAAGGTTTTCTGGTAGATAGTTGAGTAGTTCAGGTGACATTCAGCACAACAGATCCTCAAAAGTCAGTATCAGGTGGTGAAATTTAATATTCTATTAACATGGGGCGAAAAAGGCAAGAGGTCAAAAGCATCAAAAAGGCAAAGAAATTAAGACAAATTTGAGATCCAGAAAGACAACATGAAAACTATAAAGCTAATTTCCCTATCTAATAGTTACTATCAGCATAGAAACATGATGGTTCTGGAACAGAGTGTCCGTGTCCCTCAGAATAGTGCAGCAGGACAGCAACTAAGCATAGCATCTCTTAAGAATAAAGCCAATTGGAACAACATTTTGAACCCCTTATATCCATTAAGACCCAGGTCCAGCATCTTCCATGTTATCAATCAGACTCTGCTCTTCCCAGAATCATTGAGAAGAAAACAGTTTCTCATCTCTCAACACACTGTCATCAGAGGAACTGCCTAGGCTTGGCCTTGAAGATAGCTTCTCACAAGATAAGACACAAATGTTACCCTTCCTTTACCGAGCAAAATCTGACCTTTACAATCAAGGCCATTTTCCCAAACAGTCACACACAGGACTGATTCTCAAAAGGTTTCTGATTCCCATACTTTCTTGTTTCTTAGTATCACTGGAACAGGTGGTGCCTCGCTTAACAATGTTAATTGGTTCCAAAAACACCATTGCTATAGGAAAACATCGTTAAGCGTAACACCATTTCCCATAGGAATGCATTGAAAACCGGTTAATCCGTTCCAATGGGAACGGATTACCGTCCTTAAGCGAAAATCCCCATAGGAAACATCGCTAAGCGATACAATGTTTCCCCCATTGAAAATCATTGAAGCCGACTCAATGATTTTCAATGGCTTTCCAATGTCTGTTTTCGCTCATTTAAAAGTGTCTTAAAATGTTTGATACCTGTTTTAAGTGCTTGGAATCGTTAGTCCACCTTGTGAAACCTATGCAAACTTAATTTGGCTTTGTTCTGAGTCTTCGCTAATTTTTGGTGAATTTTTTTCCCTCATTGAAAAGCACTGAACTGTCTGTTTCAATGGGGGGGAAAATTCACCAAAAATTAACGAAGACTCAGAACAAAGCCAAATTACTTCGTTAATTTTTGGTGATTTTTTTCCCTCACTGAAAAGCACTGAACTTTTAAATTAGCAAAAACGGACATCGTTAAGTGAAAATCCCCCATAGAGAACATCGTTAAACGATGCGGAAAATTCCTCAAAGAAACCCATCGCAAAGCGAATACATCGTTAAACGAAGCAATTGCTAAGCGAGGCACCACTGTATTTTTTGCCATCAACCTAGCTGAGCTCACCCAGCCTGGCTCCACCTCCAGTGCTGACTTGTAATTCTTTGTCACTTGTAGGTGAAATTGATGGGATATTGACATAATATTCTTGGTCATACTCTGAGCAGAGTATATTTGATAGAAAAAAAACAGTAACTTCATCACTGCCATGTATTTTCTCAACACTCTTCGCCCTTACCTTTACGCATTATAATGAAGTCCTACCATGAAACTGATTGACTGTGGGAAAAGCTGCATGTGTCAAGAGAGGCCAGGACTATGACCTCTTGTTTCCATAAATGCTGGGAAAAGCAATGCTTATGGGGGGAGTCAGCTCCACTGTCCAACATGGAGTTGTAAGGTAAGCAGAAAAATCACCAACATAAAGAAGGCAGAAGGACAGCTATACAAAGAATTATGACATAGGACTCGCCCTACCCAAACACTGTTATCAACAGAAATGCAAGGTGGACAATTTTCCATGCCTTGTGTGCCTGTCTTCATTTGTTTGTGTGGTTGTACCTTAAAAATCATTCCAGATTGACTAAACAAGGGATGTGGATTTCAGTTATTCTTCTAAGACCTAAAACTCAGTAGCTTATGAATACAGTCAGTTCTTGGCTGGGTCTGGATCAGATTTATAGATGGCATATTTGTTCTCTAACATTTTCCAATAGAAAAATTAAAATTAAGACTGTGGTTATTGTTTATTTCACATTTCTTATTTTTTTTCTCTTGAACTTCGAAGTCAGAACTATTCAAATAAGATTTGTTAGCCATTTCATGCTTGCAATTACTTTGCTGAACTCTTAATGCCTGAACACATGAAAACCAACATAGGGCATCACAAGTAAATAAAAAGGAATCAAACAAGCATGCTAAAATGAGAAAAGATTATTTGCAGTTATCAGAAAAAATTTCCAGTCCATCTTTTTCTAGAAAACCCACATGACAGGTCATCATTCAGATTTGATCTGGGTGATACAGTGCTTCCAAAAGAGGGAAATGTTTATTCCACTTTGGAAGCTTGGGAAAGTTGGACACAAATTACATTAAATCAAATAAAATTATTTTGTTCTAAGATGAAAAATCTAGTCTAAAACCATAACAATGATAATGTGCTATCAAGTCAATTCTGAGTCACCCTTTTCATGTCAATGAAGCACATTTTCAAGCCAATGTGTATTATGTAGACAAATATGTGCACTGCTAAATCAGTTTATAAATATTCTCAATAATGAAATTTAGTTCTAGTAAACCAAGGTTTTGCATTAACAGCTGTTACTGACACCTCCGTACTCACTCCAAGTGGAGAAAACAATATGGTTAAAACAGAATCACAATCCTGCAATCAATATAATAGAATAATAATTAAAGTAGTTAATAATATTCTTACCGTAGGCTGAACAGACATCTTCAGTGATGCCAGTGTGACTGTAGTCTGGTTACCTTCATAGTCCAATGCCTCTGCTTCAACAACATGCAACTCGTCTTTAGCGCCAGCTCCTAAACTAACCTGTGTGAAACAGAATTTGAAAGGCAGAGTCCACGTATTAATATTTACTGCCCACACACTTGCTGGGATCCAATATAAACAACACATACTAGCATTTGACTATCTAAACAAGAGCCACCCTAAATATTACAAATCCAAAATAGTTTATTTTACTGTAAACCAAATGATGAGCTTCTATATTCAATGGTTAAGGGTCAATAAAGATGTCTATGATCACTGCTATCTTGAAAATTTCCATCACATTTGGAATTATTATTGAAAGCGATTTTTCAAAGCGGAATAATTTAGGGGTTACCACAATATTTGTCCCCTCAACACATTATGTATTTCATTTTATTCTTCAGGTGAATACAATAGCCTGCAACCAGCTCTCCAACTGAAACATCATGCTCAGTTACAAATGATACACAATGCAAGATTTTGTTGTTGTTTCGTCATAAAGTCGTGTCCAACTCTTCGTGACCCCATGGACCAGAGCAAGCCAGGCCCTCCTGTTTTCCACTGCCTCCCGGAGTTCGGTCAAATTCATGTTGGTAGCTTCAATGACACTGTCCAGCAATCTCATCCTCTGTCGTCCCCTTCTCTTGCCTTCACACTTTCCCAACATCAGGGTCTTTTCCAGGGAGTCTTCTCCTCTCATGAGATCGCCAAAGCACTGGAGCGTCAGCTTCAGGATCTGTCCCTCCAGTGAGCACTCAGGGTTGATTTCCTTCAAAATGGACAGGTTTGTTCTCTTTGCAGTCCAAGCAACTCTCAAGATTCTCCTCCAGCACCACAATTCAAAAGCATCAATTCTTCGGTGGCTGACCTTCTTTATGATCCAACTCTCACTTCCATACATCGCTACTGGAAAAACCTTAGGTTTGACTATGCGGACCTTCGTCGGGAAGGTGATGTCTCTGCTTTTTAAGATGCTGTCAAGGTTTGTCATCGCTTTTCTCTCAAGATGTCTTTTAATTTCATGGCTGCCATCACCATCTGCAGCGATCATGGAGACCAAGAAAGTAAAAACTGTCACTGCCTCCATATCTTCCCCTTCTATTTGCCAGGAGGTGATGGGACCAGTGGCCATGATCTTAGTTTTTTGATGCTGAGCTTCAGACCATTTTTGTGCTCTCCTCTTTCACTTTCATTAAGAGGGTCCTTCATTCCTCCTCACTTTCTGCCATCAGAGTGGCATCATCTGCATATCAGAGGTTGTTAATATTTCTTCCGGCAATCTTAATTCCGGTTTGGGATTCCTCCAGTCCAGCCTTTCACATGATGTATTCTGCATGTAAGTTAAATAAGCTGGGAGACAATCTACAGCCTTGTCGTACTCCTTTTCCACTTTTGAACCAATCAGTTGTTCCATATCCATTTCTAACTGCTGCTTCCTGTCCCACATATAGATTTCTCAGGAGATAAATAATGTGGTCAGACACTCCCATTTTTTAAAGAACTTGTCATAGTTTGTTGTGGTCCATACAATCAAAGGCTTTTGCGTAGTCAATGAAGCAGAAGTACACGTTTTTCTGGAACTCTCTGGCTTTCTCCATAATCCAGCGCATGTTAGCAATTTGGTCTCGAGTTCCTCTGCACCTTTGAAATCCAGCTTGTACTTCTGGGAGTTCTCGGTCCACATACTGCTGAAGCCTACCTTGTAAGATTTTGTGCATAACCTTGCTAGCCTGTGAAATGAATGCAATTGTACAGTAGTTGGATTATGCAATATTACAATACAGTAATATCCTATGCAAGTCAAAAATCAAACCAATGCCTGGGAATCTGTACCCAAGATGCTGGTGATCATATTTGAAAATTTCAGACTAAAATTGTAATTTTATATCATCACAAAGCACTGCTTCTGTGCAACTTTCATTCATGCCATAGTACTTGGGTTGAATAATTCTTTCTTTCCAGAAACAAGCACTTACCGTTCTTAAAGACAACTGATGTTCATTTTCTTCATCATTCACCTTAAAATGATAAGGTTTGTCTCCCTTTAGTTCACACCCTGCAAAAGCAGTAAGCAGCACATTGTGATTATTCAAATTAGTAACTTGAACTTCTGATTGCTTTTAACAAATCAAACTGGGAGGCAAGTTAATTCCTGACTTTAAAATACCAGAAAAACTCTACTGAATGCTGCTAATTACTCAACTGATTGATGGGGGGAAGGGAAAACTTTGAAAAAGCATTTTGTAAATTTATGCCCAAATTGTAATCTACAATTAGTGGAAGAAAGCAAATTGGCTAATATCGGATAACCTACAATTACAGTTTAAAAGGTAACGCTTTATACATGAACACACACATCTTGTTTAAAACTGAATAAAACCATACTGTTATGTCTCCTGTTTCACTGTTGGCAACTTACATCACAGAGTGTAATTTCACGCCTGCCCTAGGTCATAAAGAAGATGCTCTGTACTAATTACACACACCCTGCTCCACCTCCTTAAGCACATGGCCCTCTATCTCCTTCACCCTCATGGCTCCCCTGTAACAGTATCCTCCCAGCATCCTTCTCCTCTCCCTTTGCCTTCTTTTACGATGGGCTGCCCTGCGTCTCAACGGCACCGATTCTAGCTCCAGGAAGCAGAGACTCACACGAGTTATAACGTGTCAGGCAGGCAACGGGATTAAGTCGCGCCCAGGAGACTCGTGTTCAAACTGCCTCCCGGGACAAGCTAGCTCTCGACCGCAACAAGGATGCCACATCCTGCGGCAATCTCGGTTATTCCTCCTTTAAGCCACTCGGAACATACACACACACACACACAGACATCCCAATATCGGGAGCTGCCTTTTGTTTCTTTAAAGGGAGATGGAGGAGTCCTTTCTCCCTCCTCCCAAAAGCCGAGCCTCGTCAGGGGAACGCGTGGCCCGGGATTGAAAGGGGGAAGAGAGTCGGGAGGAGAGTCGAAGAGACAACAGGCCTCGCCGTTGCCGCCGCCTCAGACACGTGACGGAAAAGGCCTCGCCGGGAAATGGTGGGCCCGAAGCCAAGGTGGCGGCGGCGGCTGCAACCCCCCTCCCCACCCCAGAGCGAAGGGGACAAAGGAAACTTCCAGAACCCCAGGCGACCTTGGCCCGCCCTCCCCTAAGCAGCCGGGCCGGAACACGCGGAACCCACGCCACGTGGGAAGGCCCCACGACGCCTCACTACTACTAGGCTCCCCCCCTCCTCCTGCTCCCTCCCAACCGCCACACAGAGCGCTCGCTCCTCTCCCTCAAACGCTGGCGCCGACGAGACAAGGAGGGAGGGAAGGCGACCTTCGCGGGGCGGGAAGGAGGAGGAGGAGAACGGACGAGATGGGGAGAAAGGAGTCCAGGCTCCATGTTACCGAAAAGGAAGGTCTGTGGCCGCAAAGAGCCCATGTTGTCCATGTCGCTGTCTTCCATATTGTGGCGTCTTTCCTTCTCGATAAACCGCGAAAGGGGGAGAAAAAAACCTAGCCTGCAGGCCTTGGCGTAATGGACGGAATTAACACTCCCCGGGAAAGAGCCCGCCTCGCTCGCTCTTCCCAGGTATATATAGTGGGAGATATCGCGAGAAGTGGCCGTGATCTCTCGGCGGCGGCGACAAGGAACTGCTGACGAACCTCCTGCGACCGCCCACCCTCTTCTCCCCTCTCACGCGAACTATTTCTAACCCCCCCCCCGTCCAGCGCGTTAGGTGGGTGGGGGAATTTCGTGCGGCCCGAGTGGGAGGGGAGTCGGTTGTGTTCTGCATGCGCTGTCGGGTCTAGACTTTTCTCGATCTTCTGCGTTGTTTTCCCCCCCCCCGGGGGAATGGGAGCCCATAAATAAAATGGCGGCGGTTGTCCTTGTTTCTTTCATACACAGATTGCCCACGTTGTGTTCAGAGGGACGATCACCAAATGAGAACTGATACTTAATATATTCTGCTTTAGCTTTTTTTTTTTCAGTCAAGGCAGCCTTCCCAAACATCGCACCTTTGAGATGAGCTGGGAAGAGTGTAGGGAAAAAATATTTTTTGAACTACAAGTCCCAGAATCCCCCTGTAGCCACGGGGCAGTAAGCCAGTAGGAGTTGGCTTAGAAAAGTGAATTGATACATGTTGGGTGTGTTTTTTTAGAATTATATACAGTGATCTAGTTGGGAAAGCTAAAAGCTGAGCCTTGCTCGGAATAGGTTTAAAAAGTTTTAAAGACCTGCTCTAGAAATAACTAAGACAAATGGAGATGTTGTTTAAAAGGCCCTGTCTTTAAAGTCTGCCATTGTGAGATCACCCAGCAGAATAGTCTTGAGGCTTAGGCAGGTCCCCACTGATACTTGTGCCCTAAATAGTCTATATCCACAAAGTGCCCTTTTTATTTAGTAATCCCTACACATAAGAAATATAAAGTTTAGAAAACAACAAACGCTTCCAGACTATTGTTGTTAGTTACCTTTAAAATCATTAGAATTTTTAATTTGAACAACAGCAGCTGTTTAAACTGACCCCCCACCTGGTAACAGTATCAGTTGGAAGTTCATAATACTGTATTTAAAGGCAGCCCCAAGGAATGGGATTTAAGGTACAGTACTTTAGTCCGAATGTAACATGGGCAGTGTGAGGCAAGGTCTGTTTTTTCTAGGTAAGGTAACAAGCTGCCAAACTAACGTAGTTACCAATACTGTACTATGTCCCTAGATAAGCAACAAGTTCAAGGCCCTAAAATGTGAACTTAGTCTTTCAGATAGGAGCATATGTCTTTTCAAACTTGTTCTTCAGTGCAAAGGGAAAAAATAGTATGTAGGGATTGAGCTGGTGGGAAAGGGCCCTCTGTTGCCAATCTTTCCTTAAGGCTGCAGGTACTCATGCAATGCTGTTCTGTACAATATGTGACAAGTTGCCAGGAAAGGAAATCCTGTATCTGTGTGTTACATGCAATGCACATGGGGTCTTGGCCATAGGTTCTTAACCTGGGTCCAGGGGTCACAATGTCCTCACAGGGGGTCCACAAAGGCTTGAAGAAATATTATGGTCTTTTGCAGTTAAAATAGAAAGAATAAATGAAAGAAAACAAGAAACGTAGAACAAAATCATAATTTCCCTTGCTTGTTTGTGTAAAACTTGGCTTTTTAAACCTACCACCTCCATTAAAAACAAGTAAAAATTGGTTACGAAAATAACTGTCTAATAGAAATAACTGTTTGATATTTCTGGATAACACTGAGTGGTTGAGAGACAGCATGTGACATTTCTTGCTGCTGCGAAGACAGAAGCCTCAGGAAGAGAGAGTCAGAGTCACTCAGTGTCACTGTGAGTGAGTGTCCGGAAGGACTTCATAATTGTGTTTCTTCTTCAATTCCTGCTAATAAAACTGTTTGGTATTGTCAGGTAAAGTGACATTTTGATATTGTTTCAGTGAATTTTGTAACAAAACAATACATTTTGGCTGAGCCTCAGACTGGAACACTGGCTGATTCTGAAACATAAAAGAACTGATGCTGTTGATGAGGGTGCATCCTGTTCAAAGCAACATAAAGCTTCTTTAAGTCATCTTAAAAAGTGTTACAGTTATAGCAAGGAATATCTGTTGATGAGACATTTCATGAGAAAATTTAAATAAATATTTAATGCACTTTATTTAGAGTTTTAAATCTTGAGTTAAGTCTTGGTGGTCCGTGGCAACTGCAGTGTTCACCATTCCTGGCCAGTATGGCCATATTAGCTGGCGATAATGGATGATGTAGTTAAACATATCCAGTGATTTACATTTGGATAAAGTTTCTAAGGTGTGTAATGATGTAGATGGGGAGTATATTCTCTGTTGCTATAGTAGGAATCCCACTTATGCATTAACAAAGTGGACAAAAGAGGACACAGATTTGCATAAAATTTCGTTGGATGGATGGATGCTCTACTACAAGACCACACTGACAATCATAAGCACAATTTAGACAGAAATATTGCAGATTTCACTGTATTAAGGAAGGTTGGATTCCTGCACTGAGCAGGGGATTGGACTTTATGGCCTTATAGGCCCCTTCCAACTCAATTACAGTGGACCCTCTACTTACGGAATTAATCCGTATTGGAACGGTGGCTGCAGGTCGAAAAGTCCGTAGGTCGAATCTCCATTGACCTACAATGCATTGAAATCTGATTAATGCCGTAACTGGCCATTTTTGTTCCATTTTTGTTCCATTTTTGTTTTTTTCTGGTCTGTATGTTGATTCTCCGGCTGCAAGTCGAACCTAAATTTTACCGCCAGAGAAGTCTGTAACTCGAAAAGTCTGTAAGTCAAGCCGTCTGTAAGTCGAGGGTCCACTGTATTCTAAGATTCTGAGTGCCACCATGTAACCTGTATGACTACAACTTGCTATACTGTTGGTGGACAACCATCAAGGTGTCTTTTTGTTCTTGCTAAACTGGAACTTTTGAACAGTGGAATATCCTCTGTGAAGAACACAAGGCCATTCTGTGCCATAGCTCTGCTTTACAAGAAAACGTCATACGTTGACAAAGTCTGGTAAATGTCATTTCTTAAGTCAAGAAAATGCCTGAGTAGTAGGCCACAAAGTTAAACAGCAGTGCATTTGTTCCAGCAGCAGATGGAGCTAGCAGAACTCATTTTTTGTAACACATGAAGGGATACAGGGATATTAAATGTAAGCTGTAATCCTTGAATATTCAAAGAACTCCAAATAGATAAGATTTGAGGCAAGCAGAAATTTGTATTAATTAACTATGGATATTATTATCACTTATTCTCTTGTACTATCAAGAACACTTATTCCATGTGTGTATTTTTCTGTGTTTGTGTATTTATATTTATGTATGTCCACACGTAAACGTATGCTATTCCATTAATAAATATAGATATCATTTAAACAAATTTAGATAGTTTGGTGTGCATAAGAAGAATATAGCTGGCTGGATAGTTCAGTCGTTTAGGTATCTGGGTGCAGACCCAGAAATTGGGAGTTCGATTCTCCACTGTGCCTCCTACAAGTAGAGCCAGCCTGTGTGGCCTTGGGCAAGCAGCACAGTCCCAGGGCACTCCCCAGAAAACGGGAATGATAAACCACTTTTGAATATTTTTTCTACCTGGAAAACCCTGAAAAGCGTCACAATAAGTCAGAATTGACCTGATGGCACAAGAAAAGATACACCTGTTAACACAGATATACAGTATATATATTTTATTGACACCTAAGCTACTGCCAGATATTGCTCCCCCCCCCCAACCACAAAGTAGGATAATGCTATCTGTCATGGGCCGACAGGGATCAGACAGCAAACTGTCAAGAGATATAGCTATAAATACTGTAGGATCAATAGTGAGAAGAATGGGCCAGAGAAGTCAAAGATCAGGTCCCCCTGAGTTGCAACCAAAGATTAGAGGGGACTAGAAGTAAGACGAGCCAGGACAAGAAGGACATCCCATCCTAAGAGCAACAACTCAAATTCAGGAGAGAAGAACTAGAAAGGAATTGGGCCATAGTGAGTGTTATGGGATTAGCTGCCTCAAATGCCAACATTTAGTGTATACCTGTTTTAGAATGGAATCCAATCAAGTCCTCTCTCTGATAGGGCGTTTCCATTAGCAGATCAGGGAGTGGTTGGTTCCACCTCCCTTCACACCCAATACATGTACTCAAACTCTGTTCTGATAGTTTGGGGAATCCTCCAAAGTAGAAGGGGGCACAGAGGTCTACAGAGGGAAGGATGGGAGGAGAAAGCAGAAGTGCAGTTCTACTAATGAGATACTGGATTTTGTACATAATAATTTATTTTCTTTTTTAATTCCAATGTAAATTTATTAATACAAGGCTGGTGGTTCCCCTCCCCCACAAGGTACCATCAGGTATTTTAATTGGTATCATTTTAAATAAAAATATTATTCTGAATAAATCATTCATTTCTGTCTTAGAATTGCGTCTTATCCATGATAGCTTTACATTAGCTTATGGTGATAAATCTTGTTTTATTTTCTTTCTCAGATGCAAATAGTTGGTTTTATTTTTAAAGAATCAAATACTATAGATAACCATATTGCAAGACACCTAGTCAAGCAGTTATTTTTCCAAATAATAGCAGAGATAATACACAGCCCTTGGATTTCCATCATCTCCTTCTCTTTTACATTCAGCCTCATGATTTCAGGCATTCTTATTATGCTTCCTGCCAGGTATTTCACCACATTTTCTTATTATCTTTAATACATCTGTCAGGGATGTGAATATCTTCTCAAAGGATAAAAAAAATCATATTTGATCTGCAAACCTGAAAAGTACAATAAATGGATGATTTAGTGAGTTATGCAGATTTACAGGGAGTGAACTTGAGTATTCATTCAAATAAACAATGAAAATATATTTCCAAAAGCACTATGTGCACTTTGTCACTAATCAAAATATAGTTTCATTCCTTTGCTTATTTGCTCATTCTTGCAAATAAATAACTTCATTGCTGTGAGTAAATCAAATTTCATATGCATAGTTTTAAAAAACAACTAAAATAGTCTAATTTTGTTCAAGGCTGTCATGATCACAGACAAAGCCTATTTTATTGTTACTTATTTCTACAGTTCTTTTACTTGCAAGGTATGCTCCAAATTTATTTCACTATAGAGGCAGCAGTTTTGTCAGGGAATAGAGAAGGAGATTAGAAATGGAACAGTAGTATTCTCAGGATGTGAGCCACAAGAAAGACAACAGGAAATATTGCAATTCAGTCCATGGTTTGGAATAATTTTAACATGGTGCTGCCATGATTCCACCATCGAGCCACTGATATGAAGATTGAGGCAAATACAACAAAGCAAAAGAAAAAAAATCACCCTGAAACATCTGAAGCCAACACAAATGCTAGAACAATGCAGGATACTTGACTTCATTTTTATACTCACTCCTTTCTACCTCCCCTCAGGAAAGGACCATTATGATCAAACTAGATAGTGATTTGTTTGTTTTTATTTGGGGTGGCAGTGGCTGTTGAATGTTTACTGTCAAGGATACAAGAAAATATGTCTCTGAGAATTCTCACTCATATGTCAGAATAATTCGCCTGACTCTAGAAGCTGTGCACTTTGACTTTCAATGAGGGACCATTTGCTGCTCTTACTCAGATAACAGAACATCATGGTCCAGCCATAATTCAGCCTTTCAAGATAATTTAAAAACATGAAATAGATTAAAAACAGAATGCAAAGCACATAAATAAAAGAAATAACAGCACCCACCTGGTTCGAAGCTATAATTAGTTATGTAGCTTGGTCACAGTGGTTAAACAACCCAGCTTAAAGGACAAAGATCTGTCTGAATAAAAAATATTTACCTGCTGGTGGAAGGATGATATGGAGTGGTCAAACCTAGCTATCCATCCTTGGCAAGGAGTTCCAGAACTTAGGAGCAGCCAATAAGAAAGCTTTCTTTTGCATCCTCGCCAAATATTCTATCAAACATAGCTGGGCTAAGAATAGGGCTTTCCCTGAAGATACCAAAACCTTAACTTTGTCTTCTAGAATATGAGGGGAAAATATTAATAAAAATGGATGTGCAGATTCTAAAGACACCTCACAAAAGAAATCTAGCTTTTCTTCTTCTTCAATGCTATTCACCCTAAGACTTGTCTCTCTACCAGAAGACTCAGAGCAATTTCCTGAGATTTCAGCTGGCACCTTGAGACCTTCATACATGTTTACAAATGGGCTCTGAAGAAAAGCTCACTGTGCCTCATAACTCACAGACTTTGGAAGACTATTCCATCCCAATCTGATGGCCAGATTCTGCACCAACGGAAGCTTTCAAATCAATTTCAAAGACTGCATAACAGACTGCAGTAGGTCAACCAGGAAGTTTCCAGGCAGTGGGGACAAACTGTCCTTGTCTACAAATTGTCACTGCTGGCAAACCAGCCAAAGCTAGGTAAAGGTAGTCCATAGTGCTGATCAGCTTAGACCTGTAATGATAAAGGTAGTTTGAGGACTACCATCAAATTCTATCTCTCCTGTTTCAGGTGGAGTGCTAGTGGTTCCAGAAGAAAATAAATGTTCATTTCCCAAACTCAGCTACCATCCTTGTACAGTGTTCTGCATCTTGCTGAATGTACTGAGAGTTTACACACAGCAGTTCGAGCAAAGTATTAAAAAAACAGACAGATCATGAATGGCGTTTTCTCTTGTGTGTGCAAGTAGTTGAAATAATATTCACTCAGTCTTGTTAAAACTTTAAAAACATTTACTAAATAACATATATATAGAACAAACTAGAAGTCCTTGAAAATATGTATATGTGTGTATGTGTGTGGGGGTTTTTTTTGTTCATTTGTTTGTGCATTTGTTCATTTATTTAATTTCTATACCGCCCATCTGACTGATGGTCACTCTTGAGTGGTTGACAGCAATAAGTGACATAAAAATACCATATAACAACATCAGTGCAATAAAATTAAACTCAGTTATCATAGCATCTGAAAACACATTAAAATAGGTGGCAATTAAATATGAGAGGCTGGAGCTTTCAGCAGTTCTTTGGTTGGCATGTTTGCTGGAATAAAATGTTTTAAGAGACTTCTTAGAAGTCAGCAGGGAGGGGGCCAGGCAGATTTCAGATGGCAGTTCATTCCACAGATGGGGCACAACCACTGAGAAAGCCCAGTTTCTTGTTCTGTCCCTCCAGACCTCCCTCAGAGTTAACACCCTCAGTCATCCTGCCGGGGAAGTGTGAGTAGGATGGACAGTACTTGTTGGGAGTAGGTGTATTGTCATATATTGAAGTCCCAAACTGTTTAGGGTTTTATAGGTCAAGAACATCACTTTGAAGCTGATGCAGAACTGGACCATTAAACAGTGCAAGGCAAACAGAAACAGGGAGATGGAACTTATTAACTCCCCTCGCTAAACTGGCCGCTGTATTCTGGACCTGTTGAAGCTTCCGCATCAGTCTCGGGGGAAGCCCCATGTAGAGTGCATTGCAATAATCTATTTGATATAGACTTTTGTATTTGACAAACCTATAATTGTTTCATAACGTATTCTTCTCAGACATAGTAACAGAGAAGCTGTCAGACAAACAGTACAAGCAGACATCTAACATACTAGAGAGACTACTTCTAACAGAGTAATAATAGTCACTCTTTTTTTCTGTCTATTTGGCAGTTAGCCCACTTAACATCCATTGGCTAACACCAGGCAGAATCTGATTGGTTACCTTGGCTCCAATATGTAAACTGAATAATTCAAGCATTCTTCTGTACACATACATACATACATGCTTGCGTTGCACACTTAGATACGTATTCCAAAACATCTTGCCAGGATTCACCTTCAATTTATTGATTCTCATCCATTTGGTGACCACATTCAACCACCAGTTTGGGGGCTCTAGGCCTGCTCTGTCATTGTTATTGGTGATCCACTGAACTTGCTTTCTCCAAGAACACATTCTCTCCACTACCCATCCTGTGTCCCACTGTGAGGGCATCTGCAGAAAGAAAGAAATGATGGCCCTATCTGCTGCTTATCAAAAGAGTAGAGGCACACTGACAAAGATTTTACTGAGTAACAATAGTGACAAGTTGTGAGAGACGAAAAGATTCCTCCCTCTGTGGCAGAGTATGTGTTGTGTAGATACAAGGATGAGTTGCACCAACGCTTGACAAGAAAGCAGTAGTTAAAATGCATGATGATGATGATGGTGGTAACAATAACAACAACAACAACAACTACTACTACTACTACTACTACTACTACTACTACTACTACTACTACTACTACTACTATTATTATTATTATTATTATTATTATTATTATTATTATTAATTATTATTATTATTATTATTGAACTGCAGAACTGGAAGGAACCTCTGGATCAAGTCCAGCCCTTTCCATGGAGGCCCAGTGGGGAATCAAACTCTCAACCTCTGGATCCACTGCCACAGACCTAAAACACTGAGCTATATCCAGCAGTTCTTTAACTAACCTTTATTAAGGAAATTACATTCCAGATGTAGAAAAACCCAAACCTTAATTCTAACTAGATAGACTTGTGCCATAAGGGCTGGTTAAACAGGAGAAGAGCAACAGCCTGTCTGCTCCTTAAAGAAACAGAAAAGGGAAAACATGAGACTGACAGACAGACCCCAAAAGTATCAGTCTAGTAATAGGTGCGAAAGGAAGTAGAGGTCAATGAGTCAAAAGGGGATAAACAAGTCTCTCTGGCATTTGCTCCCAAATTCCCTCCTGGTTATTTGGGCTGGATAGGTGCTAAGAGGCAACATGTGGAAGACTGCACCAGGAATGCTTGTGCCAGCTTTTAAAACATTTTATTAATGAAATGTTCCCTGTATGTCTACTTGTTTAAAAGAATTCTTACATGTGCATAAGGGATTTTTAAAAATGTAAGTGAAATAAAAACCAGAATACTGTAATAGTAAAGCATGAATGCAAGAGTTAAACAACATAGTGGAAAACAGGGGCGGGATGGTTAAAATACTGTGCATTTTCAAAGGCATTAATTCTCTATGTGGAAGTCTTCTTCAAATGAGGACTAAAATCCCAGTTCAATAATGGAGGGAGAGCTAATAGTATTTTGAACAATCCCTTCCCCAATCTAATATAATTGATTTATTACTTGTCCAATGAAGCCATCAACAATAGAAAAAGATTAATTGTATATTTCTGTTGCTGCCACCTCTGAAGAATAAGGGAGTGACATCCTGGTTGAAAAAGAGATACCAGGGGAAAGACTTCTGCCTTCTGAATAATGCAGACATTATAAGAGAGGAATGCACAAAATAGTTCCCCTGATTTAAAAGAATGAAAAGGCCCTGTTCAAACTGAGGCAGTGAAATTGTATTTGAACACCATCCCTTCTGTCATGGCTGCACTGGTGGGGCTGTGGGAAAAGGATGACCTCACCATGCAAAAACATCCCTCCACACTTTTCCTAACATCTAGTTGTCAGGTAGTTGGCTAGATAGCTCAGGGAGTTCAGGCAGCTGGCTGTGGAGTGAGAGGTTGAGAGTGTAATTGCCCACGGTGCTTCCTGCGAGTAGAGCCAGCCATGGGCAAGCTGCACAGTCCCAGGATGTCCCCAGAATAAGGAAACAATAAACCCCTTCCAAATGCTCTATTGCTATAAAAACCCTGGCAAAGATCATCATACATTGGAATTAGCTCATCAGATGGTAGTTATTATTTGTTACCAAGTGATTTTTATGCAGATTTTATGGGTTTTATGGCTGTTTTGCTTTTGATTAGGTGGTTCTTTCTTAATTATTCCCTTTTCTATTTCTGGCAGATGATATTGCAAGCTAGGTGTCTGTGAAAGGAAACAAAGGAAACAGAATGACATTTTAAGTGAGATTACAGAAGACAGAGAACCGAATTTGGGACTCTCTTAAATTAGAACTGGCAGAACTGGAGAACCTTTGCTCACTGTTTAGTTTCAACAATGCCTTACAATTGGTCTGGATGGGTTAGGAATGAACTTCTGAAAGGTAATATCCAAAGCCTCTGGAGGTCCAAAAGTTCCCTATTCTAAAATAAGAACACATAAATTGTAAGTAGGAGTCAAAGTAAAAGATCTGGTATGAGTCGACAGCTTTGGTCATCTGTTGATGGGTTAAACTATACCTCTGTGTTACATCAGTCTCTATGTCATTTGCTGTATTTGGGACATAATCATTCAATGATATCTTTATTTTAAAAATGAAGTTCTGGAAAAGAAACTCAAATATTACAAAATGGCAGTAAGCATCCAGAAACCTTCCAAAAGGAACCAAACCCAGGTAAGCACTGCACTCCTGGAAATTCTCACAACTTGGAGACGCAGAAAGAGCACATCATTATTCCCTTTATTTTATGTACTTTTGTATCTGTGTATTATTTCCGTCCTTTTCTCCTCAAGCTTTCATGTTCCATTTTAGTGTTAGGCATCCTTCAGTCTCGAAAGACTATGGTAACGTGCTCTGTATGGAGGACTTAAAACAGCATCTAGTGTGGCTGAGGAGGCCAATTCAAGAGTGACAATCCCTTCCACACTGAAGACAAATCCAATTTGTCCCCTGCTAAAGAGAAAAATAGGTACCATTTCTAATGCTTTGCCTTTCTCTCCATCCTCTAGATTTTCTTCCCTTATTAATTCTTTCAGGCATATCAAACCATTTTTTTCCTCTGTGTAACTTACCTTTCTCACCCAAGACTAAATTCAACACACACCAAACCCAGGTACTCTTCACTCTGCCCCCTACCCTGTGACTTTTGAGAGCCTTCTCGCTGTCATTTTGTTCATCTCTTACCCTACTCTTCCAGGAGTTGAACTCAGAGTTTGGTTCATTCTTGCTATCTATTCTGTTCTCATTTCAATCTAATTTTTGTTTCTGTACTCCTAAAGAAACAGTGCCTTGATTTGTACCCCTGAGTCTCCTATTTTTCTTCTCTCAGCTGAAGAAGTCCACCTGTTGCTAGGTCTCCTTTCTTATCTATTGTTTATAGTGCTTGTTCTTGCTGCTAGGATACCCAGGAGGTTGTGACATCATAGCCTGTCATCTTCCTCTGTCCAGTTAATGGAGCTGAATTGAGTAGAACAGGTTCCCACATAACAGTCTTCTTCCTCAATTTATCCTTATAACAGTCAGGGAAATCAGAGGCTGTCTGGCTCAGCATTGCTCAGTGACATTGATGGTTCAGTGGGGCCTAGATCCCTACTCTCACAGGTCCCACTCCAATATTTCTATCTTTGCACCACCCTGAAGATCATCCTAACTGCAGTTTAAGATATCTGGAGGCCCTCCAGGGAGGGAGGGCTACCTAAGAGAACAGCAAAACCTGTGATTGGTAGGTTTCAGTCTCCCTTTTTCTTACAGATTTGCTTCCTGCAGGGATACTTAGAGCAGAGGTGAGGAGTATTTGGCCCTTTCTTTGCTTTGGGCTATAACTCCCATAACCCCTTGCCATGCAGGCCAGAGCTTATGGTCCAAACTTCTAGAAGGCCAGAGGATCCTCACCCATGACTAAAGATTTGTAGCTACAATTGCCTGTTTCTTACTGACCCAACCAAGAGAAGACTCCCTGAAAAAGACCCTGATGTTGGGAAAGTGTGAAGGCAAGAGGAGAAGGGGACGACAGAGGATGAGATGGTTGGACAGTGTCATCGAAGCGACCAACATGAATTTGGCCCAACTCCAGGAGGCAGTGGAAGACAGGAGGGCCTGGCGTGCTCTGGTCCATGGGGTCACAAAGAGTTGGATACAACTTAAAGACTAAACAACAACAATAAACTGACCCAACCACCTTATTTTCCAACCTGCTTACCATCATTTATAACCTCAACACCCATACAACCCCATCCACCTACATGTGGAGTTTAGACACTGGGCCAACCTGCCAACCTGTCTCGTGTTTTGCAGTGGCTTCCGACAACCGTCTGGTCCAATTCCAAGTGTTAAATTGAAGCCCTGAAATAATTTGGCCTCTCTTTAGCCAAGATCCCACAGTATGCCGCATTAAAATCTCTCTAATTGACCAATGGACAATATAGATGTAAAGTCAAAAAGATACTTCCTGCCAGTATGAACCGGTGCTTTCTCTTGCCTGCTTTTTAAAATGCATTTGATTTGTTTCTGTATTTATTTGTTCTGGAAATGAGCCAGAGCGGAAAAGCTTAACACTTTCCAATTCTGAAAATTTGGCTTGTATTTTCATTGCTAGTAGCATGCAATTATAGGCACTTAGTAAGAATTCAGCCTTTTTATACTATGCCCTAGAGCTTCAAATTAAGAGGCCAATGCTGGCTTTGTGCTGCTTTCAGAGGCAGTTGGCTTCAGCATAGATCAACGGAGGAGACTGACTGTCGCCTCGCGATTGAATTAAGTCTATATTTTTGACAAGTATGGCAGCAGTATCATCCCTTTAATCACCAACAATCCATTGTGTCTCTTTATGCTAATAAATAAAACATCCCATGTTAAATATTGCCCAGTAAGCAGTGGAAATCCTGCAGTCACCACCTGCCCATATGTTAGCAAGTAGAATAATAGAATGGTAATAAAATAACGTCAAATCATGTCAAGGGGTTGCAGAGACATGATCAGCAGTTATTGCAAAGAGCAAATCAGGCCCCAATTGAAAGGTACTGTTCTCTTTAATACAATGACCCATGCATATTTCACTAACTTGTCTCAAGGTATAAAATGGATTTAACAAGATGATGATGGAGGTCAGAATACTTTGTAAATTCTTTAAGAAAGGCTTTTAAGCTCTTACTACGATGGGGCAGTTTGTTAAAAGTCTTGTCTGTAGAAGCCGACAGATGAAATCTTTTACCTGGGAATGGGGGGGGGGCACTTCCTTGGCCTCTAGCTCAGCCATAGAGAAATCAATCCCTGATTTGAAGCCCGGATGCTGAGCCTACAGCATATGAAGCTGATTATGACCTCAAATGAGCTTATTATGATCTCATCACATGGTCACCCCCATAGGTCATATTCGGCTTTGTGTGCTATGTGCAGCAACATTACTCATCACATGGTCACCCCCATAGGTCATACTCGGCTTTGTGTGCTATGTGCAGCATTGCTGGTTCAGCATCTGCTATGTATAGTATTTTTAAAATGCAATTGACAGTAGCAGTAAAATATGTTAAAGGGTGTCAGGTTTACAGCTCTGTTATTTAGGGGGCATTTTTAACTTTAGAACTGTACTATTCTGACACCATAGACAGGAATTTAAGTGCAATACAAGTGAAGAAAAATATCAGAACTTTATATTAATTATATTTCATACCATGTACACTGAAATGGATTTATAACCTTTCCTGTGATCACCGCTGGGAATGCAGAAGCCAGTATGAAGACTGCTTGTCCATAAATTGCTCATGTGTAAAAAAATTAATGTCAAGCAGTGCTAATTTTTGTAGAACAAATTAATGTATTCCATAAATGTCTTACATGTACAATTCAGTTGCAGTCCTCTAAAATCTAGTTACCTGTTTGGGAAACAGCCGAGAAGGGATGTTTTCTTCGTTATTAGGATGTAGAAAAAGTGATGGCTGACCCTTAGTCCCAGGTGTGGCGATCTCCCCTGAAGCCCCTATTCCCCAGGCCTTCACGAGGTTCTCGCCCTTCTTCTTTCTGCACTGCCACCAGGTATTTCTGTCTCAATACCATTCAATCAGAGACATGTGTGCTTTTAAAACTTAAATGATTTATTATATCAGGGAAGTTGAACATATGATTAATATTCAATAGGCAAATCACAGGTTGCTAATCACTTACATCTAATTCAATTCTACTTTAATTTTCACACTGTCTCTCACTACCAGAATCTCTCTCAGGCTCCATACACCAGCCTTTATATCCAGCCCCCTCCCCCCTTGGCTCCACCTTCCATCCTCTCATTGGCTCCTACTTCACTGTTCAGCTGTGACGGACAGGTGAGGGCTGGGCTGATCGCTACACCAGGTAAGTATAAAGAGTTGCATCTCATTGGCACAAAACATGCCCTATCCACTTTCTGACTGATTTCACTTGTTTTGGGGTATAGCAGCTAATTTAAGCCTATTCATTATATTTAGGAACAAGGAAATGTCCATTTGCGTGTCTGTATCTGTCTGTCTGTATTATGAGTATATTTTTTTGTACAGGAAGATCTCCGAAAGATATTTCTGTGAGCGTTAAACCTAAACTTCTGCATGGATGCTATTTAGGTAAATACCCCAGTGGGCTTTATCACTACTGGCCATGCTGACTGGGGGGATTCTGGGATTTGTAGTTGTAGTCCAAATGAGTAAGAACTAGAAACGTGAAAATTTGCACAGAAGCTACAGAGATCTTAAATTAAATAACAAAGTGGTTTAAATCTTGTGCTCGTGCTCACTGAGGGATTGTGGAAGTTGTGGTCCTCCAACTGAAACTGGCAGAGCTGGGAGCATGACATTTTCCACAGATAGTACTGATTTCTCAGCTGAAGTAACTGGATAGGTTATTGACTGCTCAAATGCCATTAATGTGATGACATAATTTCATTAAGTCCTGATTAGTTTAACATTTACCTGCTGCTTTAATAGCTGTTACGCCTGGCCTTTAACCAACAGTGAAAGCCCAGAAAGAATATGAACCAGAAGGGGACCTCATCGTGGCATCAATCCTCCGCAAAGCAGGGACAAAAACTCTTTTATTTTAAATATCCAGGCTCCGCTCTGAATCTGCCATTGCTGCATGGGAGTAGCCAGAAACAAAATGAGACTAGCGTGGTTGGGGGGGAAAGAGTGTGAGAGAGGAAAGACAAGAGAATGGCCTTTACACAGCTGGTGTGGGGATGGAATCAGAGAAGTACCAAGAGCTCCAAGGAGAAAATGAGGTAATTTGAAAAAAGTTTAAAGGCAAGGAATATTGCTGTACAGTGGTGCCTCGACTTACGAATATCCCAACATTCGACCATTTCGAGTTACGACCAGCTCCGACCGCAAAATTTTGCTTCGACTTGAGGCCGGAGCTTCCAGTTACAAACAGAAAAAGGCAGGGGGGAAAGGTGGGGAATTCAAATTGCTAACTGTTGGTTGTGAAGAGGCTGCATCTTTGTAGCTCTTTCGTCCCAACGGTTAGAGAGTGTGCGTTCGGAGGAGGCTTCGGACTGCCTGGGAAGGTAAGGTGCTGCTTTCTACTTTTTACAAACTGTTCTGGGTGAGTTCTGCAGCGTGGTTTTGGGCTGGATGGTGGGATTATGATTCTATGCTGTGATGGGTCTTGCAGGGTTTGTTTGTTTTTTGTTTTTTTTTCATTTCCGATGGGTCTTGCGGGGTTTGTTTGCTTTTGGGGTTTTTTCCCCATTTCCGATGGGTCTTGTGGGGTTTGTTTGCTTTTTGCTTTGCTTTTTTTGCATTTCTGATGGGTCTTGCTCGGTTTATTTGCTTTCTGCTTTGCTTTTTTTGCATTTCCGATGGGTCTTGCACATTTGTTTGCTTTCTGCTTTTCTGTTTCCCCATTTCCAATGGGTCTTGCACATTCGTTTGCTTTCTGCTTTGCTTTTTTTGCATTTCCGATGGGTCTTGCACCGTTTGTTTACTTTTTGCTTTGCTTTTGTTGCATTTCCGGTGTGTCTTGCACAGTTTGTTTGCTTTTCTTTCTCCCCTTCCCTTCAGCTGGAACGGATTAATCGCGTTTCCGATGGGTCTTGCAGTGTTTTTTTGTTGGGTTTTTTTGGTGATTTTTTTCTTCAGCTGGAACGGATTAATTGTATTTTAATGCATCCCTATGGGAAATGGTGCTTTGACTTACAACCATTTTGAGTTACGACTGGAGTTCCGGAACCAATTAAGTTTGTAAGTCGAGGCACTGCTGTATTACTGTATCTCTCCATGTAAATCACCATTGGATTCACACTTTTAGCCAAGCTTCTTAACTCCAAATGGCAGTAATGCAGCTATTCAGTAGTGCAGGAAAAGGTTCTTCATATGCTCAGAGACACTCAGAATATTCCT